GCTGGGATGGGGATGTCAGCACTCCCGAAGGCTGGGATGGGGATATCAGCACTCCCAGACTGGGACGGGGCTCCCGTACTCACCGCTCGTTCTTCTGCAAGCAGATGAGCAACACTATGAGCAGGACAAAGACCAGCCCCAGGGTCAGGAAGAGGAACTGGATCTCAGTGTCGTCTGGGAAGGAGGRCAGGGTCACAGGGAGCTGCGCTGGGCACCGCCAGCTGTGAGGTTTGGAAAGGTCCCCTCCCCACGGGTGGCTGCACCCCTCACCCAGCACGGTGGTCACCAGGGTCAGGCTGGTGCCGTTGGTGCCGCCAGCAGCCGTGGATGCCATGATGTGCACTTTGTACAGGGTSGATGGCTTCAGCCCCTGGATGACAAAGGAGCTGAGAGAAGGATTCACGGCGGCACCTGGGGACACAGGGAGCTGTTGGTGTGGAGGAATCCCCTCAGCTGCCCCTCAGCCCCTTGGGTCTCCTGTCAGAGACCCACACGAGCCCCTCTGAGGAGGGCACAGGCTCTGCTGCTGTCCCCACCCAGCAGATCGAGGTGGGATGCAGGGCAGGGTCAGTGCTGCTCTGGGCAGGACTCACTGGCCACGTCGGTGCTGCTGTTGGCCCAGAAGATGGTGTAGCTGGTGATGAAACCGTTCTGCATCTCCACTGGCAGCGGCTCCCAGCACAATTCTGCCTCTGACTTGCTGATCCTCCTCAGGTGGAGCTTTGGGGCATGGGATGGGGCTGAAAAGAGCAGGACAAGGGACCAGGCACTGAGCAGAGCCACTGCTTCGGGTGGGAGCAGGAGRGGGGGCCCCACTCCCGACTGTGGGACTCAGACAGTGCCCATAGCTGAGAGCACCTGCCGAGACGAGCCAAACCCAGCCCTGCAGGCTGAGCGCTTTGCACAGCTCCTGGATTAGGGGAGAGAGGTTGTCCCTCCTCCTGGAAAGGCAGAGCTTTGTTTTTGGGGGCTGCTGGGGGTGCACGTACCCTTCTGCTGGGAGTAGGCTGTGGTGTGGACGGGCACCCCAACCGTGCCCTCGTACAGGGGGTACAGCGAGATGTTGTAGCGCTGGAAAGGCTCGATGCCATCTGCAATGAAGGGGGCTGGGGGCTCAGGGCACTGTCTGCTGACAGTCTGTGCCACCTGTGCCCCAGGCTGCCAGCCCGCCTGCCCTGGAGTGGGTCCAGAGCAAGGACCGAGGATGGGGAGTGGGCTGGAGGCAGGGTTTGGTCCTGGTTTGGTCATTATGGGTGTCACAGCCCCCTGGCACAGCTGACCAAAGGGTCAGAGTCCCCTGGCAGCCCCTGCTCACCCTGGATGAGGGCTGCGGTGGCCTCCCTGTCACGCTCCATCTGCCAGCACGAGCTGCAGTGCCCAGGCTCCGCTGTCACCCGCTGCCACTCCAGGACGTAGGCGACCACTGGTGCCACCGGTGGCTCCCAGTGCACCCAGAGGCTGCGCTCGCCTGCAGGCACGGCCCGGAGCCCGGCCGGGGGCTGTCCTGCACGGGACAAGCAGCTGGGATGATGGGAGAGGGGAGCACCCGTCCCGTGTCACCCACTGTGTCCCCCAGCCCGGAGCCTGCCCTGCTCCTCACTCTGGCACCTCCTCGGGGCAAAGCAGAGCCCCGCGGGGCCACGCAGAGGATTTGGGCACTTTCCTCTCCTTTCACCTTTCCTCTCCAGGAGGATGACCTCGGTGGGTGCCGACTCGCCGGCGGCGTTGTAGGCTGACAGATAGACCCTCCTGGTCCCCGCAGGCGCCGAGAAGTTGCAGTGGGTGTGGGTGGTTTGGCAGACAGTGGTGAGGTCCCTGCCCCTCCTCCGGGGGCTCAGGGTGACGCGGTAGCCCAGCACTCGCCCGTTGGCCTCCCTCTGCCGTGGGGCCTGGGTGCGGGCAGGGCGCGCTGATGCCGGTTCCTGCGGGATCTCCGGTCCCTGCGGGATCTCCGGTCCCGAGGGTGATGCCCCGGCGCCCACCCCGCCCCTGCTCACCTTCCAGCGCAGCTGCACCTCCAGCCGCCCCCCTGCCCCGGCCGGCTGAGCCCCCCACCACGCGTCCAGCGTCCCTGTGGGGGCTGCAATGGGAGAGGTGGCAGGAGCTGAGAGGGCCCAGCATGGCCGTGTCCTCAGCGCTGTGCCCTATGTCCCCAGTTCTGTGCCCCGTGTTCCCAGTTCTGTGCCCCGTGTTCCCAGTTCTGTGCCCTGTGTCCCCAGCTCTGTGCCGTGTGTCCCCAGCGCTGTGACCTGTGTCCCCAACGCAGTGTTGTGTGTCCCCAGTGCTCTGCCATGTGTCCCCAGCGCTGTGCCGTGTGTCCCCAGCACTATGCCAAGTGTCCCCAGCACCGTGCCATGTGTTCCCAGCATGGTGCCGTGCATCCCCAGCGCAGTGCCGTGTGTCCCCAGCGCAGTGCCGTGTACCTGGGCAGAGGGACTCTCTGGCTGGCTCCCCACTCACCTTTCTCATGGGTGGTGTAGTTCCTGCCCGGGCTCCACTCGCTCCAGTAGGCCAGTGCCGATGCTGAGCTCCGCCGGCAGCGCATCTGGAAGCGGTACTGCGTGCCGAACAGGAAACCGCAGCGCTGCGCGGTGCCGGCCCGGCCGGTGATGCCGGTGACCTGGTGGCAGGCGGAACGAGGGCTGTGCTGGCTCCTGCCTCGGGTCGGGGCTGGCCCTGGTGTGGGAGCGGGGGGCACCTTGCCGTCCCCCTCCCACACGAGCATCCCGCCGTTCCCACTGCTCAAAAGGGAGGGAGGGTCTCAGCTCCTGCCCGGTCCCGCTGCCCCAGCAGCTCTCACCAGTGCCCAGGCAGAGTCCTCGGGTGCCCGGTAGCGCAGCTCACACTGCAGCTCCATGTGCTCCGTGCCCCGTGCCACATCCCAGGCCAGGGCAATGCAGTCGGTCTGGAAGGGGATGGACTGGATGCTCTGCAGGGTTGGGGGGTCCGGCTTGGCTGGAGGAAGAGCAGGGGAGAGCTGGGGAGGTGTGCGGTGGGCAGTGCCCAGAGCCACGACCTCACATGCCTTTTGTTAATGTCAGGAGCTCCAGCCAGGGTGCCGCAGCAAGAAATGGGAAGAAATCACGCCAAAATATTTAGGAGAACWGCTGGTGGCAGGGGACAGAAGCCAGTGTGTTCCCGTGCTTGGGATGGGGTGAAGCTCAGGAGCGCAACACCAGCACTGCTCCGCATTAATGCTTATGCAGAGAAAGCAGATTCCATGGGGCTCGGTGTCTGGAACACCCCAATTTGGGTGCWCCAAGAGGTGAGAGCATGCCACAGCCATGGCAGGGCTCAGCTGGTTCCTGGGCAACCCTTTCCCAGCCCCAGATCACGGAGGACAAGCCTCTCCATCTGGGAAGGCTCCTTTTATAAATAGTTTATAGGCACTGGATCCATTATTAATAGACCTCCTGAATAAATGGGTAATCAATTGCTGGAGGAGCTGTGGAGTGCAGCGGGTCAACCGGCAGCTCATAACCCTCCACACGCGCTGCTGGCTCTGTAACACAGCGCTGGCACCGATTCATCCCGGCGGGACATTCATCATGGAACCTGCCCGTAAAACGTGACCTCAAAGCCCGACGCGCTTTAATGGCACTTTAATATCCCTGTCACTGCTGATGCGCTTCCCTGGCCGCTGACCTGTGTGCCAGCACTCACCCACGTCCATGGGGTCGATGTGGAGGTGCTCGGACTCGGCCGTGCCCAGGGCGTTGGTGGCAGACACCCAGATCTCCATTTGTCGGTACAGCTGGAGCAGCGGGCGCGGCACCGTGCAGTGGCTGTGCCCGCCTTGCGGGGTGCAGCCCGTCACCGCCGGGGCTCTGCTCCTGCGGCAGCCACAGCAGTGGGCTCGGGGTCCCTCTGGCAGAGGGTTGCCGTGGGGTTTGGCAGGGATYGTGGCACCGGGACTTACCCGGCGCATTTCAGCGCGACGCTGGTGGGGAGGTGGCTGTCGGTTCCCTGCTCCCACTGGCACATCAGYCCGTAGTCACTGAGGTTCAGGATGCAGCTGAGGTTGAGGGGCTTGGCAGGAGGGTCTGGGGAAGAGCAACCAAGGGAGAGCCTGAGCGAGTGCCTGTCCCTGCTGGGGAGGAGGGTGACCCGTGATGGTTTCAGACTTACAGCCCGCCCTGATCTCGGCCATGCCGACTCGTTGCTTGGTCCCGTTCCACTCCACGCAGCACCACAGCCTGGCCTGCGTGCGGTTGAACCGGGGCAGGGTGAGGTTGGACACCTCTGTGCCCCCTGGACCCTGGCGCTGGCTCCCAGCCACGGGCTTGTTGTCCAGCATCCAGCTGATCTGGACCTTCCCCTGCTCCAAGCCGCGGCAGAGCTCTCTCTGGATGGTGCAGGACGCCGTAACAGCTGAGCCCAGGGCCACAATGGGTGAGCCCACAGCCACCGAGGCGCAGCCCAGCGTCCCTGCAGGCAGGAAAAGCGTGTCACATCCTGGGCASAGCTGTGACAAAGTCATCTCAGCTTCTCAGCGCCCAGGCAGGACCTAARGATGAGTCTCTTCCCTTAGACGGGCCCCACGGCCCTGCAGAGGAAGAGMCGAGCGTTGGGCAAGCCACCGGCACGTGCCTGTGCCATCCTGCCTGTGCCCGCTGTGCCACCGCCGTTCCCGCTGCCCCGTGGCCCTGGCCAGCCTGGACGGACACAGGGAATGGTGTGGCTGTGGGACCGGACAGGATGGACCGCACTCACCGCCCAGGTGGAGCAGCAGGAGCAGGGAGAGCTGCAGCAGGAAGGGTGTCCCAGCTCYGCGCCTGGCCATGGTCTCCTCCGTGGCTTTGGCATCACCTGGAGTGGAGAAAGCAGCTTGTCCTGRGGGTCAGCGAAGGCTGGGGATGAGATGGGCTGAAGAAGCCGGGCTCCACTGTCAGCGGCGCTTCCCGGAGCAGAATGTCCTTTCGCTGTCAGCGTCAGCCCTTCCCGCAGCCCTTCTGACACCTCCGCCCCCGGCTCGGCGCCCGCGCTGCCGCAGCTGCCGGCGGGGAAAGCGCAGCGCAGAGACCCCGGAACGCAGGTCCCTGCACACCGCTGCCACCGCCCCGGCCCCGCACCCCATCCCGGGCACATCACCCTGTGCCTGGCCGGAGGCACGGGCTGATTTTATCTCCACTATCTACAGCCGCGGCCGGGCAGAGATTTGCGGTTTGAGGGCGGGTGAGCGCTGGGGCGGCGGAGGGCGATAAGCTGGGAGAGGGAAGCGAATGACCGACAGCAGCACACCCAGACTGGCCAAAGCTGCGGGGTTCTGCCCAGGGCCCCGGCCCCCGGCTGCCCCTGCGWGCTGCTGGAACGGCCCTGGGAGCGTGGCTGCCTCTGCCCCTGCCCGGCCACCTCTGCCCTGGATGGGTCCCAGACACGTTCGTGGCCCAGGAGAGGCTGCGGGTGCCCACAGCTCCTCACCCCCCAAGCCAAAATCCAGAGGGAAACAAAGGACTCGAGTGTGGGAAGCGGGACTGCAGCCACCCCTGRGCGCTCAGCACGTGTGGCTGTCGCGGGCAGGGGACTGTGTAGGGCAGCCACAGAGGAGGTGCTCAGTGGGACCTGAGCACCTCGCACCCACCCTCCCTCACTTCCATCCCTACCTCGCCTCCATCCCTGCCTCTCCTCCGTGTCCGGAGTGTCCGGAGTGTCCGGCCGCCGCTCACTGCCCGCTCTGAGCGCAAGGCTCCGGCTGCCAGGGGCTGGCCGTGCTCAGCCTGTTTGCTAACATGCTGCTTTTCCCGTTAGTTCCTCAAAACCCGGGCCGTTAGTTGCTGTGACGCTCTGAAGAAGGTGATTGCAAAACACTTCCCTGGAGGCTGCGACCCCCTCGCTCGCCGCAGGCAGGAAAGCCCAGACGCAGACACCCCARGCAGCGTCCGGCCTCCACCCTGCCCGCTCCGGCGGCTGGACCGGGCACAGCCGGGCTGTGGCATAGACAGCTCCTCACTGCAACTGCCCTGGGGCCGCCTGGCTGGGCTGGGGGACACGGCAGAGGAATGTGGGCTGGGGGAAATGGCAGGAGACCGTTGGCTGCGGAATGAGCAGCTCAAGGGGCAGGAGGCAAACCCAGCTGTGGCTGCCAGCGTGGTGTGATGCTGCTTGGGAGCATTTCACATCCCAAAGCTTGTGCCTGTGCCCACATCCACGGGGTCCAGCTTGCCCCAGAGTGAGGGGACACCCAAGATGCCCAAGGGCAGCCCATGATGTGATGTTCYCACCAGAATCTCCCGGTGCTGACCATTAACCTGTGCTATTTCAGCAGCTCTTTGCCCAGAGCTGTGCTGAGCTGCTGTGCCCACCCGTGCCAGGCTGGAGCACAGCCCTGGTGGGGAATCCCGTGTCTGGTGGGACGGGGCTGGCCTGGGGGGTAAACAGAGGGTTGCTCAACCCTCCCCACACTCACAGTCTTTGCAAACACGGCGGCTGTTGTGCAAACAGCTGTTTACTCCGGGCTTGGGGCAGTGTTTCATCTCCATGGCCCACTGCAGCGCTCCCACGCTGCCAAAATCTGGGGGTCAGAGCAGCCCCCTGGGAGCAGAATGTCCTGGGGTGAGACACCTGGGGAGACCTGGCATCGCCTCCTGCCGAGCTGGGAGCCGGCCCGGGGCGGTCATCGCTGCCCTCACAGCCCCGACAGTGCGAGCAAAGGCATTTTMCCCCAGATGTGCCCTGTTTGTAACGGGTCAGGCTGCTGGCACGGGTCGGGCGACGGTCCCGGGTGGGTTTAGCCGCCCTCGCAGCATTTCCCCGGGGTGTAGCAACCCGCAGCTCTTCGGGCTGGGAGCCGGCACGGCTGTTTACCAGGCGAGCAGGAATAGCCGTGGGTAGCCATGGCGACCTGGGCATCTCCGTGGGAACCGAGGGCGTGGAGCTGCGAGCACCCAGCTGGACATCGCCAGGCACCGGCCACCGGTGGGGCCCCGCCGCGGGGTGAGGAGGGGACGCTGCGTGTCACAGCAGCGCCTTTGGGTTCTCCTCGCCTCTGCTCCGCAGAGAAAGGGCTCGTCCCGGGAGGCTCCGAGCGTGCCAGGCGGCCGGGACAGCTCYCTGCGGGCGGGGATGGAGCAGACGCGCCTCCTGACAGCGCTCTCGCTTCCCCTTCGGCTCTGAGTCACGCTCACAAGCTCCCAGCTCCGGGATGGGGCAGGAATAGGAGGCAGGGAGCAGGGTGCCGTCCCTGTGAGCTGTGGGTCCCCGGCAGAGGGGCTGGGGCAGGAGAGTGCATGGGGAGGGGCTGCTGGGGTGTAAAGGGTGGGTGACAGAGGGTCCCATGGCGCAAAGGCAGGTGGTGACACGGGCCGTGGGGTGGGACAGTAAGGAAAACACGGTTTGGAGGGAGGGTGGGTGCTCATGAAGSAGGTTTTGGGGTGACTGCTGGGGCAGTGGCTCCCAGTTGGTGACACAAAAGCCTCCCGAGCCCGAGGCCATCGGGCAAGGAGGAAGGTGGAAAGGAGAAGTGGATGTGGGGTTTTTCCTGGTTGCAGTGCGTGGGGTGGGGACTGGTGGCACTGGACAGCAGCCCATGGGCTTGGCTGGACCCTGGGGTCAGCTCTGGTCACCATCCACAGGTAAGAGCCCCACATTCAGTGCCTGGGAATTCTCAGCTGTCTCTGTGCTCCCAGTGCCTCTGATTCCATCCCTGCTSGGTGGATCATTGCTATTAAGCAGAATAAAGAACATTYCTAGTGTGTATCAACTCTGCAGGCRGCAAAACCCRGCTCCTCTAAAGAGATTTTCCCTTTCTTCTCTTCATTCYCTAGAAAAATAGAATATTGCCAGTCATGTAAGACGCAGGATCTAAGTGCAAAAGCTTCTGCAGGCTCTAATGGGTGAGCAGAGCCGCTTAATTGCTGCCCAAAGCAATTAATTCAAACAAGCTCCTTGCTCAGCCATCAACAACGAGGAGGGAGCAGAGGGCTCTCCAAGAAGTCACTCTGTGATGGTCAGGAGAGCACAGGATGGCATCACCAAGGGACAGGGACATGGGCAGCATGGAGCCATGGGCATGAGAGTCCATCCAGGGCCATCCTGTGTCCACAGGCTTTGGTCACCCAAACACCAGGGCTGCCCCTGGGCTCGTCCCTGCTGTGCCACTGCCAGCTCCTCCCCAGTGAGGTGGCAGCAAATTGGAGAGGATTGATGGCAGGGGTCYGAGAGAGTGACCTTGAACAGCTCTCGACACATTCCTGCAATTAATGAGGCAGGAGGATTAATTTCTGCGTGGCAGAGCTGGGGAGGCCCCGGTGGGCACGGGGAGGGGAGGAGGGGCARGATGTGCTGCCATAACTCATCTCCACTCTGCAAGATGCCAAAATGGTGCCAAGGTCTGGCTCGGCAGAGTGGTTCAACAGRGCGGATGGGGGAGAGTGAGAAATCTTCCATGGGACCACCTAAAACTTGCCTGTCCCTAAATTCCTGCCTCTGTTGCAGAGGTGTTTGTGGCAGAGGAACCTCACCACGTCCTTTTGCTGAGCCCTGTGCCACCCTCTCACCTCTCAAACTTCTGGAAATTCCTGCTGTTTCCTGCTGATGAGCAGAGCACCTTCTCCTTCTGCCATTGCCAAAAAGAAATTTCCCTTTGATGCTGTACCCCATTAAATCAGCTGAGCAGGGGCTTTTCACCCCCCAGCACATCCCCTCACCCTGCTGTGCCCGTGGCAGCACATCTGAGTCTGATCCCATCTGCTGGGGCTGCGTGGCCACTCCCGACACTTCCCGGCAATCAGGCTGCAAGAAAAGCACTATTATTATTCTGCTCTAATAAACACCTCTGACAATAATAGAAAAAAAATCAGCTTTTATCGGGAGGAAAGGATACCTGGGAATTATTTACTCAGAGTCAATAGTCGCAGGTGGGGGTTGCCAGCCTGTTCAGCTGCTCGTGGCCTGAGTGGCCAGAAAATTGCAGGAAAAGGGGCAAAGCCCTCCCTTGCTCCTGCTCTGTGATCCCCCCATCCCGGCTGTGCTGCCCAGGGACACCCTGCTCATTCCCCATCCATGTCACCCTGGGACACGCTGCCAGAGTGGAAGGCACAGGGGGGCTCAAGCTTTGGGGAGGGAATGTGACTCAGAGCTGGCACCTTTCCTCTTCCAAGAGTCAGGTCTGTGAGAGCAAAAAATCCACGGTCAATTGAGCTAATCACAAAGGCAATGAAATGTCTTCGTGAGGTTATAAACATCCCCGTTTAAACCCAGTGACACAGGGAAATAGGAATCCAACCAAGCAGCCTCCAAAAGTGCTTTATTCCCYATTATTTTCATTAGCTGCCTGGTAATTTGATTTGTCCTCTCCTGCTGCTGGCTTTTTCCACGGCCAAGAGGAGCGACAAATGAAAYGCCCTCAAATGAGCCCTGACAGTGTCCAGGGGGGTCGGGAGTGACGCAGCTCTCCCAGGAAACAGCCACGTCTGTGCTCTGAGAAGTTTGGGGTGCCTGGACCCCCCTGATGGCTCTGACACYGCCCAAATCTCCTGGCCAAGGCTCCCTGAGACTCAGGCTGTGATTCCCAGTGCCATCAGGGACACAGGGYGAGCACCCCAGGGCTGGCACGGTGTCAGCACCTCCCGTCGTCTCCTCRTGATCCTGTGCCCCCAGCTCCACGCTGACATCCTGTCCCCATTATCTGCAATTTCCTTGAAAGCTGTCAGGCATCGACGGGGTCCCTTTGCAAATGAAGAGAGGAGGAAACAACCAGGTCTGCATTTATCCCACTAGAAATTAATCCCCCCTTCTTATTTAAAGGTATCAGTGAATGAGGCCAAGTTGTTAAGTGACAAAAGAAAAATGATTCTTGCCTTCCAGGGTTATTAAAATCATGTTCTACAATTTTAGCAGCCACAAGGAAGCCCAGATAATGACAGATGATGATAATCCATCTCCAGCACAGCCTGGTYTATAATGATACTGCCCATATCTCTTGTATTACCACCAATTACTCAGTGTATAATGAAAATGTACATCCATTCTGGGGAGCTGCATTTGCTGTCTCTGAATCCAATTTCTCCCTCTCCTTCCCCCAGTACTCCCCTGCTCTAGCTGGAGCCCCCACCATGCTGTGGGATCGAGGTTGAGGGATCCAGACTGTCCATGCAGGGATCAGTGAGGGCTGTGGATGCCCCTCACCTCATCCTCGAGTGCCTGAGGCTGCACAAGACCTGTCTGGGGACACAGGTACGACAGGAGAGGCTTTGAAATGCAAACTGCAGGAGCAACCTGAGCAGATACAAAGCAGAGTGAATCCTCTCTGCTGGCCGAGGTGGCAGCTCATGGCCAGCCCAGCTGGGGCTGCCCATGAAAGCTTCCAGCAGCTGCCCCTGATGCCAAAACCCGAGTGAAAGTGCCTGTCCAAGTGCTGAGATGGCAGAAACCTGCTCAGCACAGCATCATCCTGCTCAGCATAGCATCATCCTGCCCAGTACAGCATCATTCCCCTCATCACAGCATCATTCCCCTCATCACAGCATCATCCCACAGCATCATCCTGCTACAGCATCATCCCCCTGCATCATTCTGCTGGGCACAGCATCATCCTGCCCAGCAAAGGATCATCCCCATGAGCACAGCATCATCCCAAAGCATCATCTGCTCAGCACATCATCCCACTGGGCAGAGCATCATGCTGCTGGGCACAGCATCATCCCTGTGAGCATAGCATAGTCCCTCTGGGCTCAGCATCATCCTCCTCATCACAGCATAATCCCGCTGAGCACAGCCTAGCACAGCATCATCCCSMTGAGCACAGCATCATCCTGCTCAGTACAACATCATCCTGCTGGGCTCAGCACCATCCCCATGAGCACAGCATCATCCYGCTGGGCACAACACCATCCTGCTGGGCACAGCATTGTCCTGCTGGGCACAGCATCATC